ACGTAGCATTAAGGGCGTGGTTGAAGTGCCAGTCCAAGTCTTATCCGGCCAAACACCTCCATAACCAAACAGAGAAATCGCTAAACCAAGATTTCAATCACATTTAACATAGCTGTGCACACTCACCGCTTTCTATGAGTCTTCCACTGAGTATGTCGTGTGAAGACCGACCGCAGAGAATTCACATGGAAGCGTAATATGCCCCTCCCATCAGAATAATAGGTTTATATACTGTCCAAGATCACGCGTGATAATGAGGCATTCCTCCCTGCGGTTTATTTTCGGATTCTTGGAATTAATCCAGAATGCCTCTAGAGTTTTGCGCGCTTGTGTTCTCGGTTCTTGCGTGAGGATCGTAACCCTTACTTCAAAATCCTCTCCGTTATGTCTCTGCGTCCTATGCTTGCCTAGTGGAGTACTTAGCTTACGTTTGCCGACCAGGTGATCTTTTATACGTACGCAGAGTGGTCTACGCGTTTCGCCAACGTATTCGTCCCCGCACCCTTTACAAGAGATCAGATGGACTGTACCCGAACTCATGTAGTCACCGTCTCTACCATTGGGACAAAGTATGCAATTTTGCATAGCACATAGACGGTCGTATAGGTGGTTACGAACTAGCTGGCGCCTTAGATTATTCGGTGGTATTTCGATTATCGTTACTGAATTCTCTAGACTGGTCCTTCTTAAACAGCTTTTTATGGCTGCGCTTACTTCATTTGAAATGAATGGCAGTATAAAAAATAGTATAACAGTATAGAGTATAGTAGTAAGCGGTGAGTGTGCAGGGCTATATTAAATGTGATTGTAATCTTGGTTTAGCGTTTTCTCTGTTTGGTTATGGAGGTGTTTGGCCGGATAGGTTGCTGTCAACTTGACCTTCCCCGGCCTGAGGAAGACGAAATCCGCCGAAACGTCAGCTTGTACGTAAATAAAGAAATAAAATAGCACCTCGTGTTTGCTGAACGGAAGTAGAAATAACTAAACAATATGTTCTTAACTCACTGCGCTAATAGGGGAAGCAGTTAAAGATGGCGAAACCCTTGCCGAGCAAAACTACTATGCCGTTAAGAAATAAATGAGCGTTTTAAAACATTTATTGTTTTGATGTATTCTTCATCAATAAAACATTTTTTGTATCTTGCAATATTATACATCATTAGAAAGGTGATTTTATGCTCTTTCTTACCATTTCTTTATATTCTGCTGAAACTTAAATTTCTTTAGCAATTTTCAGCTTTGCAATTTAAGATGTCAAAAACCATTTTCGTCAAATTTTCTTTTAGAGTTCAAACTCGGTCGCAGTGTGGAAGAGACGGCTCGGAACACTAGTAAAGTTTGGGGTGAAGGTGTTACTAATGAATCAACAGTGAGAACGTGATTCCGGAAATTCCGATCTGTGATATCGATTTCGAAGAACGCCGGGGACGTCCTAATGAACTTGACGACGACGAATTGGAGGCACTAATAGAAGCAAAGAAAAGTACTCGAGCAATTTCCAGTTACTTAAATCGCATAGAAAACAACAAAAAACTCGACAAGTGGATGCCGCACGAATGAAAGAATAGTTTAAAAAAATCGCTATTTTAAAGCGACGTCTGCTCCTATTCTGTGCAACAAAAACGACCCTTTTCTTGATCGAATTGTAAACTGTGACGAGATGTGGCTTCTGTAGGACAATCAACGACGTTCGGTTGAATGGTTAGATTACGATAAGTGTCTACAGAACTTCCCAGAGCCGAAATTGGTCCATAGGAAGGTTATGGTGACTCTTTGATGGTTTGAACTCGGGAGAAACGGTTACGGAAGAGAAGTATTGCAAAGAAACCGACGAAATGCACAGTAAACTCCAACAACAACGACAGCCATAAGCCTGCAGAAGAGAACCAATCCTTTTCCACGACAGCACCTGGTTTCACATTGCGGAACCAGCGCTGCAGAAGTTGAACGAGTTGGGCCTAAATCGCAAAGGACATAGGTGATGACGTATGCCTATAATGCACGCGCCCTTGCATCTAAACCTTCGATAGAGGATTTGATCACGCAGGCAAAAAGGAATAGCCACCACGTCATCGGACTGCCCGATACGAGACGACGTCACTAATTCAACGCCGTCTACGACATTGGAGAAGAACCATTCCTCGGAACACGCGACAGTAAAGGAGTCGGCAACGTTGGCGTTCTCGTCAGCACGAGTTTAGCTGTGAATTCCCACGACCGACTTTCTATTAATCCCAGCATTAATCAAATAGTTTTCGATATTCCTGTTAAGCAAACACGACTTGTTACTTTATTCCTTATTCCGTTAAAGCTGACGTTTCGGCGGTGACTGCATGCGTTCAGGTACGATATACATTTCTCTTGTAGTACTTGCGGAAATGAATATGTTGGCGAAACACTCAGACCTTTATATATCCGCATAAAAGAACATCTAGATCGCAAACGAAAATCAAGACTAAGTTCTCCACTAAGGGCGCATAGGATACAAAAACATAGTGGAGACGATTTTAATATTAAAGTCAATACTCTCGCACAGGGTTCCAAAACACCCACACGCAAGCTTCTAGAGGCTTTTTAGATAAATACCAGAAACCCTAGAATGAACAACAGGAAAGAATGCTCGGAAATCACACGTGATCTGGCCCTGTACCTTCGCATCGACTTTTGATGTGGAGTGGTGCATTTATCGACCATATGTGACTATAATCAGCTGTTCTAGATTTCCTCACTGGAAGTTACGTAAAAAGCGGTGAGTTTTTCGAGAAGCTGCTTATCGTGTAATTGCGATTCAGATTTTCATCTTTCTGTATGTGTTATCGGAGCGTTTGACTTAGTGAACTGCTATTCAATATACCGTTCCAGGCTCTGAAGAAGGCGAAATCCGCCGAAACGTCAGCTTTAACGGAATAAGGACTGAAGTAAGACCTCGTGCTTGCCCAACAAGAATATCGAGAACGGTTTGATCAATGCGGCGGTTAACAGAAAGTCGGTCGTGGGTATTTAATCTCCAGAGTCAAGATGCCTCATTATCAGTGAGGGTGTCAAAACTATTTCCTGAGAGCTAACTTCTTCAGCATTGTTGAAGACATTATAACCCACAGATTAAAAAAAGTAGAACTCTTGGAATTAGTGAAATTTTCTTCGCTAAAAAACCTAGCGGTCTTCGCAGGGAGATTACACTCACCCTCGTACTTGTGGTAACACACGTGATAGATTTAGTGTTCTGTGACTCGCTTGCTATAGAGAACATTCTTCACGAATATTGGAATGTTCTCTATGTAAATCAATTATAACCTTTCCATACATTTCAAATGCTACTCCCATAACCTTCTCTCCATGACGATCTGATAGCCGTATGTCTAACATTTCGCTGGCGCCTATCTCGTAAAATATCTGCACTTACGGTCCTAGTAGGCTTTGAATATCGCCCTATCAGATTGCAATGCATAAGAAAGGTTTCCAGCACCTGTCTTTCTGCCTACTATAGCCCGACTCCGCCCAGCGCAAAGGTATATAAGCGGCTCCATAGTTAGCTAGCTCATGTCACAGCAATGCTATCCAAGTCACTGCATTCGTGCCTCACATCCATCGTGGCATTAATTATACAGTTGCACCGTTATGCCAATCTCTTCACTCATAAGCAACCTGAACACCAGTGACCAGGCTGCGTCTATTCGTTACCCGTATCATTGTTGCGTTAATTGTAGGGTTGTACTGTTATGATTGTTGTATAATTACGATAAACGGTCTAATTACCCAAGTTTAAGGTGTCCGGCATTGTGGCTGCTACTTACAAGAAGTCCCGCGTGGCGTACACAAAGGCGAGGAGCTAATTCTGACCAAATCGTCTTAACTACTTGGTATTCCTATATCAAAGAGCTGTTCCAACACTTGCAAAGTTGCACAAATGACCGAGTACGCTCGAATCACGTCGTCGTTCAAAGTGCACCGTTGCGGAGCAGTAACTGAAGTTGAACATTACTAACAGCATATAACGTCGAGATGCAAACAGTCGTTTGTAGCATTTCTTTAACTTCAGAATGACGATACTGTTAGTGTCGTTCATCCAGTGCCCTCCATACTTACCTATTTTGCCTTTGCTGGACTTTCTTGCTTTTTCAGACTAACAATGGTTAAATTTCTTTAAAATGAAACGCAACAGTTGTCTACTTTACATATGCAATGGCTGCAATCCTAATCGACGTTATCATCAGTGATCATCAGTATCATGCATTATGGACGACACCGTAAGCTTTGTTGCGCTGGCCTCAATCGATGGATTATTAGATGGAGTCTAAGGGCGCGGTAGACGAGAAGTCACAATAGGACGAACCATGCATTATGAATATGCATGTATTTATAGGTACCTATGCACTTGATATAATAAGCGCCTTTCACAGTCGATCTTTCATAGATCTTGACACTATGTACGAAATGTAACGTAAGTTGTCACACTTAGGATGTAGGAATACGCTAACTTGAACAAATAGGCGTAACATTTGGAACAGTTCAAGTTTTTTCTCTTTTGATTCAATTATGAACATGGATAGCACCAATTACATCAAACGACCGGTTAATGAAAATACATCCAAAATTTAAAAATAATGCGAAAAATTAAAACGATTTGTTACACATGCATTTTCTCCTGAAATAATCCAAAACCTGTTTAAATAGTAACCATGTAGAGCAACGGCACTACTCAAACTGAACAGTTCTAAGTGATATTATAAAACAGATTTAAAGCGAAGCACATCTTATACGAGAAAGGCAACTCCATAAGGCCAGAAAAGTTTACCGCTACACAGCCATAGTATAGTTTAGTGTTCTTGCTTCTATGTCTTAAGACAATCTTTATTTATTTCTAACAATCAATTATATCTAGAGAAGCACTTACCATACCTGCAGAATACTATTCATGGGATAGGATTTCCAACTGGTTGTAAACAGGAAAAAAAAAAGATATCCGTATAGTTTTAGAGATAGTAAACGCCATTATAGTCCTAGTAATAGTCGAGACTACATCGAACCTCTTGAGCGAATTCCAAACTACGTTTCGTTTCTGGTACTTGCGCCAGAGCCGGATTCAAAGCAACAATAACCATCGTTTTTGAGTTCCCAGCACCCAAGCTATCCCGAAGAAGCATTGTAAGTTTCGAGTTCCGGTAGGGTATATATTGATTCTGAGACAATAATACGATGTGTTTTACTAAGCTGTTTTAACAGAGAGCGACCAAGATGCGTTGATTTCAACTCAGAGTCCACGAAAATCCTTGGCAAATTTGCCTCACCATGCCCCAAACTAAAATAACAGCCACGAGAATCTACAAATTTCTGCCAAAGAAATGCAGCTCTTTATACTCAACTGTGTAAAATTGTTTAAAATAATATAATTATTTTCCTGCTCTACCTCGTTAAGCTATTTATTTGAAATTTTAAGAAAATTTTTGTAGCCCATGAAAAGTACTTTACTCGCCCTTCTCACTCAGGTTAGTACTTTTATTCCCGACCACGGATCTCCCACATAGATGGATCTTAAGCCGGTTCGTTGCGAAAAAAGGTGGAGCGCTCCTAGGTGGCGGATAGGGGCTTATGGCGGACCAGAAGCGAACTTTGTTTCCCTGAGACGCAGGCGGATCCAGAAGACTGTCGATTTCTACTGCGCCGATTTCGCACACAGTTCCTCGGTTTGCGAGGACGTATTTCAGCATGCGTGCGTGGGCGTCCTTTCGACTATGTGGACTGTGTTCGACGAACCAATTCTGCCAAAAACCTGTAATCAAGTGCCAGGGAAGTAGAATATGGGAAGTGATTAGGAGTCGTCTCCAACAAATGAGCTCCATTTTCACTTTGGGAGAGACTGACAAGATATCCATGAGCATACCCATCCCCATGTTCAGAGCTCAGCCATCTATAAGGAGGTATTAAACGCTAAACCCAGTAAAATGAACGGGCCTCATTCCTCTGACCTCCGAAAGAGGCCCTGACATGTCAGCGTTGTGTTGGACGAGCACGGACAGGATGCTAGAATCTCAATCTGATGCAGACTGCTTAACTAACAAAGGACTTAGGTGACTGTCTGTACCTAAAATTCACGCACATTTGCATCTAAGTTCTCGACAAAGCACTTGTTATGCAGACAAGAACGATAACATACGATGTCATCGGACAGGCTGAGACCAGAAGACGCCACAAATTCAACGCTGTATGCGACACCGGAGAAGAACTGTTTCTCGGAACATGCGATAGTAGAGGAGTCGGCGGCGTCGACGTTGATCAATCCCTGAGGAATGCCAACTGCATTCGACTTTATTAGGCATCGTTTGGATGTGATTGAATGCATATCTGGTCTTTACAATGACTCGCGGTGGGTTATCGATGTATCGAGCCATTGCTGCTATCTTCCCATACAAGTCTCGTACCAATTTGCCGACCCTGGAGGGATAGAGGGCTAGATGCGTCGATGATGGCGATGATGATGATGGATGGCGCTAGATGTGGCGCTGGGATCGATCCCATGTGTATTGCAGGACTCCTACGAGCACTGCTCTACACGTGCCCATCATGAAAACGATGTTCATAAGGAACCAATTGATTACGTATGTCCCGTTCACGCTCGGAGTACAAATATCTCCGAATACTCCATCTACGTCTACCTAGGTCAGAAAAATCCACATGATGAAGGATTTCGCTCAGATATGAAAACTAGGAAGCGACCGGCCTGGGGAGCTTTCAAGAGCATCGACGATGTAGTGAAGAGCATAAAGAACATCCGACTCCGTACCCATCTTTTCGACTCAACGGTACTTTCTGCCCAAATATATGCGCCAGAAACCTGGTTGTTGCTTAAGTAAGATGAAAGATCACTTAGCGCTATCGAATGTGCAGTTGAAAGGACGATGCTAGGAGTATCCCGTTCCACACAAGTAAGGGATGGGATCCGAAGCTCCGATCTGCGTCAACGATCAAAAATCAAATATGCCGTTCTGTACTTCAAACAGTCGAAGATGAGGTGGGCCAGACACGTAATGCGTATGAATGACACCCGATAGACAAGAGCCGTTAGTGACTGGATTCCTCGAGATGTTAAACGCACTGTAGGAAGACCACCCACCCGATGGTCATGGTTCTTCACGAAGAGCCTAGAAGAAAGATATGATGTTCAACCAGTCCCTAGAGCGAGCATAACCCACTGGACTACTCTTGCACGTGAGTAGGAGAAATGGAATATTTATTGGCGTCAGCACGAGTCACTCGACGGCCAACGAGACGATACCTGATACAGGTGATAGGTGATTCACCACCGTCGAGCGTGCACAGTAAATTTTAAAAATTTAAATTTTTTTAATCACAAAAACTAAAAATGACCACCGTAAAAATGAAACAACATTCTAGGAAACACTGAAAAATGCTCAAGAAAGAAGCATTCTAAAAAAAGATCTAATACCACCCTAACACAAACTTTGTAAAGCATGCACTGATTAATAACTGGGATTGCTCATAAGATATAAGTGAAATGCAATAAGCAAAGGATATCACCTTATTCAACTGACTTCGAATACAGTTTTGCAGATTCGATAGTGCAGAATTAATGAATATCACTTCTTTAAAGCGATCACCCTCGGCACCAAACTCTTTGACACGTTCTGAGCCTGCAAGGTCGACAAAGTGATGGGATACGTGGCGGGTTTCACCTCAAATGTACAGTAGAAATAGGTAACCACGAATCATTAATACTTTTGAGTTTATACAATGTCCTATCGTCTTGTTACATCGCCTTAAAGAGACCGGTCAACTTACTATGCCCACTTCTATGTTTATATTCAGCCTAAATATCGTGCACGAACCAACATACACTATTGATCTACAAACCAATACAAAGCTTCCCACAGATCCAAATTGTGGTGAAGACCTGAATACATCATAGCTAGGCTATGTCTTCACTAAGGAATGCTTAAATTGCCTGGCCAAAATTAAACCGCCTTCAGTACCGCCCACAGCAGGTTCGTTCGTCTATGACGTCAGGTGATTAAATTTCAGGTTGCGCTGGGCGTCACTGGAGCTGGATAGAAAAAACACATGCCGTGGTAACGGTTTGTTGCTGCGCATCTATACTACCAGAACAGTCCCTCATACGCCGATCTTCGCGCTCTTTTTCAGGCTGCAGGTTGCATTAAACTCAATTTAGTCGCCATATAGGAGAGAAAGGTAGAAAAAACGACATAAGTCTATTGGACGATGAAAGTCTTAGCATACATGGAAGAAAAATTTAGCCACGAAATGTCGGTGGTGCAATTTTTGCCTTGCACTCTCCTGTTACCTACCATGCTGTCTTATATGAGAGACTTGAAATTTCCTCTGGAGAAAAACCACCCCATATTCTGCCTTCTGAAGTTTCAGTTAGAACAGAAAGCATGAAGAGAAGCTTTTTCCGGATAGCATCATCTCCAACTACCTTTCAGTTGTAAGCCATAAGCTACATGTACTTCTCGGCAACCGATATGACACCTCATCTTGTCAGAAGATTCCTAGAACATTCGAAAAGATCACCCAGGCCGCCCTCCTTCAGAACGGTGACCGACAGGATCTTTGCAACTACTGGTAGGTTTGTTTGTTGATCACGCACTACAGCGTCTTCATAAGGATCATCATATTGCGCATATCAAAGGTCTTGAAAGAAGCATATCCACTGAATCTGCTATATGGACGACATCCACACCGTGTCTTAGATTGAAGAAGTTTTTTGAGAATACCAACTGCTCCTTGCCTTAATATTTGGTAAAAACGAAAAAGGGTTTAATTAACATCATCGAAAAGAACCCAATCCTGTCAACGGTTATCGACAAAAGAAGGGATGAGTTCTATATAAAAACTTAAGCTGACTACAATCGCGATTTCAGTACAAAAGTGCAACTCTTCCAAAGACCCTTAACATTCCCATAGGGAAAGTGGTTCAGCAACATGAAATTGTTTCGCCAAAGCAGTTTACTTTGTAGTGGATAATAAAATCACTCGATCGAGAATGAGAAGAGCATAACATTAGCGGCAAATTCTTTCAAAGTTTCGCTTAGCTGAAGACACTGTGATCTTTTCGAAAAGTGGCAACGAAGTAGAAACGATAATCAATGAATTTAACAAAACGGGGAAAAGGATTGAACTACGCGTGAACATGAGGAACACATGGCTGATGGAAAACCCACGGCAAGAAGGTGAACAGCTCGAAATAAATAGTTTACTGATAACAGAGACAACCTTGTACGAACCTTCGGCGTTCAGAGAACAAACAACACGAAGAAGGCAGTATGGGATGTGTTGCCTTCTTTAGCAGTCACTCACCAACTAATCAATCCGAAACAATGCGCTCACCTTTTTGACTCAAAGATCCTCCCAGCATTCAAATAAGCAGTCTATGTGAGCTGATAATTTAGTCATGCCGAAAATATTGTGCACTATCTACAGAGCCCGTGAATAATAATGTCTTTTGAAATGTTGCCAACACACAAAAGATCTAACCATAACGCGTAGCTCAGATTTTGAAACTTATATAATCTTCGCGACCTAGAAGATTACTAATCCTTAACGAAGCACAGTTGTGTCAGTCATACGATAAGAATAGAAGACCGATAGACAGGTAGGTGGCTAGAACTGCACATTGGGTCCCAAAAGACTTCTGGGAGACACATGTTTTTAGCTAAAACCAATCAGCTGCATTAACAGCAACAAATGCTTTACAGACCAGGGCATATTACCCGCACAATTCACCGTACTCGAAGTTTACCAACATAACCATAACCAACGATGGCGAGGCTAAGAAACGAATGAGGAAGCTTCTGGAGCACGCAATACTCGTGATGACAGGCGTTCTACATATCCAAGTAAATACTTCCTCCTATGGTTCTCTGTGATGTAAAACAAGATCAACTAAAAATGTACAACAAATTGGAAGATGTAGAATAAAAAAAACTTAAGGAAAGTCATGTTATTTTCCCCTATGGATAGTTTGAAAACTGCATGACTTCTACTCGACTGTTCATTGCACTTCGTAGTAGCCGTTGATCGGGTCCTGTCAGCGATCAATAGAATGTTTTCCACCTAAACCAAATTGCAGTGAAAACAAATACTGTAAAGCTGTCATCTTTTTTTAGTAGGACTGTACTCAGATTCCTAAACTCACATCACCCTTGTCATTTATGTCACAGTATCTCAAACCGTTGACCGTCGTGATTCCTGCACCCATCTTTAATTCAGGTTTACTTCTCTTAGCGAGCAAATCATACACTTCTTCATTGTATACTTCCACAAAAGACGCCTTGAACTCGAACTGAAATCCAAAACTTTTCCATCAATCATATCCACAATGAATCCTCAACAGAGTGTCATATATCACTGTCCAATGTAGGTCCGATAACTTCTCCTTCGACTATAAAAGGAACTTTACAGCTCGGGGGAGTAAGGCCTTCAGATTCATCTCCACCCAGAAAAGTTAAAAATTATAGGCAAGATTTATAAACAGCATACATTTACTTCCATAGAAAAACACAATACAATACAACATTATTACAAGAGATCAGGCATATCGTACCTGAACTCATGCAATCACCGTCCCTGCCGTAAGGGCAAATTACGCAGTTTGTTGTTTTCACATAGAATAGAAGTCACGTAAAAAGCGGATGTAAACGTAAACGTTACCGCACTGTACACCAACGTGTCGAATGACTCCGCAATTCAAGCCATCTTAGAAATTTTCGTTGAACATGAAAGAAGAATAAATATGCATGGCTTGTCCATCCAGCAGGCTAATGGCTCTCTTAAAGGAGTGCCTAAACTGCTCGATTTTCAGATGGTCTGGGAAATATTTCGCGCAAATAAGAAGGTTGGCAATGGGACAGCGATTGGCACCAAGCCTTGCCATTGTGTTTATGTCTAAGATAGAAGCCCCTGTTCTCGATCTCCGGCCACTACTCTACTGCAGATATGTAGATGATTGTTTCGTCGTCTTCTCTACGCAGGAGGAGATGGACAAATGCTTTGAATTATTGAACGAGCAGTCCGAGTACACAAAGTTCATCCGGGAGAAACCGAGAAAAAACTAGCTTCCGTTTTTGAACGTTCAAATAAACCTATCAAGTAGCGGTTACCTGACAAAATGGTATCGAAAGCCAAGTAATAAGAACGATCTTGTTCATTTCCTTTCTTCCCACCCTTCATACACAAAGAGGGCGATTGTGAGAAACATGTTTCGAACAGCCACCTCTGTGTGCACTACCAGGGAACTAAAGGAAGAATCGCGCGACTTGGCTCGGCAAATAGCCATCTCCAATGACTACGAAATAGTAACGCAACGAGATAAGTTTGGAAGGAGAGCGACCTGCCCACGCGAAACACTTGGCCGAAAGAAAGTCCCGTTTATGTTGCCTTTTATAAGCGATGAAGTAAGCGTAGCTGTAAAACGATGCTTAAGAAGGGCAGGTCTAGAGGAATCGGTAGCGATAGTTGAAATACCACCGGCTACTCTACGTCGCCAATTAGTTCGCAACCGCCTGTATGACCGTCTGTGTGAAACAACAAATTGCGTAATTTGCCCTTACGGCAGGGACGGTGATTGCATGAGTTCAGGTACGATATACCTGATCTCTTGTAATAATTGCGGAGATGAATATATTGGCGAAACGGGCAGACCTTTGTGTATCCGTATAAAAGAACACCTAGATGGCAAACGAAAACTAAGACGAAGTACCCCACTAGGCACGCATAGGATACAAAAGCATAGCGGAGACGATTTTGAAGTAAAAGTCGACATCCTCGCACAGGAGACTAAAACACCAGCGCGAAAACTTCTTGAGGCTTTTTGGATAAATTCCAAAAACCCTACAATGAATAGAAGGGACGAATGCCCGGAGGTCATATGCGACTATAATCAGCTGTTCTAAACTTCCTCATTGGAAGTCACGAAAAAGCGGTGGGTTTTCGAGATTGTTGTTCATGTAATTACCAAGGAGTTTTTCGTCTTTTTGTGCTATTGAAGCGTTTGGCCTAGTAGATTGCATATCAGTATACCCTTCCAGGCTCTGAAGAAGGCGATACTGCCGAAACGTCAGCCAGTGTTGTATTGTATTGTTTTTCTATGGAAGTAAATGTATGCTATTTAACAACCTCGCGATTGCTGAACAAGAAAACGACGCATTCATATTCCAATGCCGAGGTTAATAGAAAGTCGATCCTGGGAACTATTGCAAGATTTATAAGTCGAGTAATTGGTTTGGTTAAAAGTAGCGTAAAACTATTGGTTGCCGTAATAGGACACTCCATACAACGCTGCCTCGATAAAATCTGTTCGATACGAATCTAATGGACAAAGCATAGACCTCTAAATTCATAGAGTTAGTGGAACTGCTTATGAATAAATACTTCCTCTCATCTTATGCGCCTTACCATTTCCTGTCTGTCCATATGCTAGGATAGAAACATCGTACCCGTGCACACAAGACTGAAAATGTGCACACTGTAGAAGTTCCGTCCCTAAAACTAATAGATACGACTACTACACACCACAACTAATTCTTGTGCGTCGTTGAACACGCGTTCTTGGCTCACATTTGGACCAAAAACCCTTTGAAATTCGAAAACATGAGATCCTTTTCCCTTTCCCTAAAATTTTGCTGATTATTGATAATGCTTTTGTCAGTGTAACTTTATTTTATTATTTGGGATTCTTTTCCCTAAAATGATCACGAATAATAAAATAAAGTTACACTGACAAAAGCAATAACAATAATCAGCAATATTCACGGTAACAATTACTAATAATAATAGCGAAAAATGACCAGTATGATGTTGAAATATCTGCTAATTTGTGTTTTCATTCAATCGGAAGTCAGAATCTTCTTGCTGTCGTTGTTTCTTCATTGGGTTTGGCAAAGCGTAAACTATTACGTACCATAAGTGATTGCTGATAAGCGCGAAAATTAGTTTCACCTTACTACAGGCACTTTATCTTCTGCAAATATCGAACTCTGACTTTAACTCTGCTCCAGAGAAAGTGTGGAGACGTCGAACTATCAATGAAGAATGGGGTGAAGACGATCGCACTCTGTTTAAAGAAGCATTGGTCATGTTTGGAAAAAGATTCGACAAAATTCGCCAGATGGCAGTTCCCCACTCCTTCGCTTATCTAAGAAAAGATTCGGTGTACTAAATAGGTTTTTTCTAAGATGCCTTGTCGATCTGTGTGTTTATTTATCCAGTCCTACTACAATACTAAGAAAGACACCGACTGTAAGAGTTTAATCGACACTAGAATGGCCGAAGATGACGACTGGTGAGGCTTTTCCTTTTTCTACCATTAGATGTGTCAAAATTCTACATGGGATTGGCTTTAACAGAATAGAAGAAATTCGTTTCTTGCGTAATGAAATATTTTGAATTGGCTACTGTAGTGGCTTGAAAATCATGGTTGGCTGAACACCAGCTGCGCAATTGTGCTTGATTTAGTGGGCCAATTAAAAAGCTAAGAGCACTACATTTATGACTCGTATAATGCTAAGATAACTGCAAAACTCTTGACCGCAGCTGTCTGCGGTGAGGGACGAACGCGCTTTTGTCCTTTCCGGAGAGTAACGCGTTCACCACCACACCATGCGGGTCCTTCGTTTCGCCTGTCTCTGAGCTAGTCCTATCGATCTTTTGCCGTCAGCAATCACCCGTCAACGGGATTGATCTAGGGAGCCAAAATCGGCATTGAATATACTTTTTTGAAAAATAAAGACATTCTAATTTTGAAGCTCTCGACTTTCTATTCTCGTGCTTGTGATGAATGGCATCAATACTCCTGCGCTATCCTTCCACAACAGAGAATGGTAGTTTTTTTGGATCTAAAATTTTGATGAGGAAAAATTAGAGATAAGTGGCTATTGGAAGAGAAAGGATATAAAGGGCTGAATAGCGAGATAACGATAACTGGAAATAGGAGTTCATTTTGGCTATTTGATCTTTGGATATAGGTTAGATTAGAGAACTTTTCTCTACTAATTGCACTTTATAAAACCATATTCTGTTCAGTGCTGACGATCAAGACAATGAGACAAATGTGTGCAGTAATTGTGGCGAAGAATACCGAGAAGCGCATGTCCTCGACGATATGCAACTATGTTTTGTGTGTTGGACGTACTTCATGTACATAGTGAAGCATTGCTTCTTTCCATATGGAATGGTAAGGTCGGAAGATTGAGAGCTCTGCTCGGAGCACTGTTGCTTTTCGTGTTCGATAAGCTTACCGATGCTATTGCAGACATTCCGAGCGGAGCGCTTTTTCACTTCCAGCGCTGGAATTAAGTTGCTCATCATGTTGACTTGTCAGTCCAGGTACACATAGATGGAACATATTAAAGATAAAGGAATCCGTTCCATACAAGTATATTTTTCTTAAGTTTAACCGAGGACGACTTTTTAAATACTCACTATCGTAACCAGCCAGTATTCGTCCAGCTGGGCTAGTACTTGATGTTATACGAACCATAAGTTATCAGCAAGGCGAAAGTGGTGTAGATGCCAGTTACCGACTTTCGGCTTTACCCATCATCCTTGGTTTGATATAGAACAGGTGGGCGTAGCTTTCGAAATGTTTTTCCGGATACTGGATAGCCATCATCTTAATATTGCAGTTGTGGAAGTCTCGACGTTTGCTGCTGATGCTGTTGCCAACCACTCTAGTTTCGTCCAATACTGCTGCTGTTATCTCTGCAAAGACTTATTCTACAGATTCCCTGAAGAATCTTGCAATTTTGATCATTGTGACTGCTTGTAACTTGTGCTATGTTGACGCACCAACTCGATATTCAGAGACAGGTCTTTTGGTGATTTTGAAGCTCTCGACTTTCTAGCAGTATCGTAGAAATATTGTTTTATGCAAGACTCATGGGAGTTGCTTCTAAGCTTTAAGGCAAGCCCTCGAGGTTCACGAATTACTATGGAATTCGTAGTAAACGTGATATGATCCAAGGGACGTGGTATGATGTTCTTCATGGGCCAACTTGCCATAGAAATCGCCAACGATGACCTTATAAAAGATTTCTGCGAAAATTCATAGAGAATAGAGCGACCTTATTTTCAAACATCCTTCAGTCATGCAACAGCTTCTTTTGAACAGCAACGGTTTCTTGTCCACACAGCATGTCTTGTTTTCGCATCAGTTTTGTTTCGTGTTCACCCACGGACTCAATTTGTCAATACCGATTTGGCATCTTCTTTATTTAGTATTGGGCTAAGGCCGTTTTAAAACCGTCAATTTGAGATGTTGGAGCGGTACTTTCTTTTATCATTTTTACAGTTGCAATCTTTGGAAAACCTGTGATCTTTCTCTTCTGAATCAAACATAAGTTTTAATGATGCTGAAATATTTGCGAAACTCCGGACCGCAGCTGTATGCGGTGGGGAACGAACGCGCTATTGTCCTTTCCGGGTAGTAACGCGTTCACCACCACACCATGCGTGTCCTTCGTCTCGCCTCCCTCTCAACTAGTTCTATCGATCTCTGCCATGAGCCGTCAGCGGGATTGACCTATGGAGCACATCATCACCCGTCAGCGGGATTGACCTATGGAGCACATATCGGCATTGAACCCAGTTAAGCCGAGGCTTTAGTTATAATCATAATCTTAACCGTTTTATTTACTGCCTACTCTTTTTAATGGTAGGCTATATTGCGAGAGGCAGGCGAAACGAAGGACCCGCATAGTGTGATGGTAAACGCGTTACTCCTTGGAAAGGACAAAAGCGCATTCGTTTCCCACCGCAGAAACCTGCGGTCCGGAGTTTTGCAAATATCTCAGCATCATTGAAGTTATATACCCTGCCATTAAAAAGAGCAGGTAGTAAACAAAACGGTTCAAATATAAGCCCCTGCGAATTTCGAAAAAGACAGCAGCTGCTTATTTATCTTATGCCTCTTCTTGGAATATAACGTTGTCTTTCCGTCGGTTCTTCTTCGAGTCATTCATTAATGTGAGACCTTTGAGAATGGTTAGAATTCATTTGTTTCAAATTCTTTTAAAACATTTGCACCATTTGTTTTGAAGATGAAATATACTTCTTTTCAACGGTGGTGCTATTCTTGGTATGCTTGGATGCAGTTGCGCGGAAATACTAGATGCAAGGCTGAATGTTCTTTTTGTTCGTGGTTTCGCTTTTGCCGAGCAATCTGCAGCCGTCGGCATTTTTCTCCTTGACATTGCTGGTCTTCTACTAAAGCATGTTCTCAAATCGCCGTGTGTATTTTTGCTCTTACGCAACTTTCTTAACACATCCAGGTTTCGTATGTTCGACCAAGCCGCTGCTATAGGAGAGACATTATTTGGAGGAGTAGTTTTATAATGCTTCAAAACTAGCTTGTAATTAAAGTTTATTTGACACACGATGATTGGAATCCATGTTTTGGCGTTTTTTCAATAACCCGTCTTCGCATATCCCGATTCTACTCGCTATTCGTTGCCCTGCATTCTTCACACACGAAGGTCATTGAATGGTAGTTGATTTCATCCTTTATGAAGCCTTAGAATAAGTGCATATGTTAGTGCATTTCTAGCGTTCCACTATTTGCAGTTACTAGCCTTTACACACTAGGAAGAGCTTTTCCTAGCCAACATTAGTACAAATTTGCAGGTCTCTACAGGATGTGGGCTTAGTTTGCACGAGAAGTCGAACTAACGATTATGTCTTTATTGCACGACACCTTTAACCATTACTCTTTCTGAACCCTAAAGGTTTATAAAGGAACATAAACCTCTTCGGACTGTCAACAAGTTCAAACGAAACGGAGAGCTGTACGGCTAAGCACACCATTGACAATACCCAAGAAGAATGGTTGAACTGCACAAGGCATATATTTATTTATGTGATCTTATAAACTGATCTTCTTAAGCTGACGCGAGGTTGGTACAGGTCTTCGTTGTCGTTGTCGTTGTTTTCGATGTTATTGATCAATGGCTGACGTTCCGGCGACTTCTGCCTTCCTTAGAGCCGTGATGTTACGTGCGGGACTGGCCAACGCGTTCTCACGTTGCACAAGGCATAACCGCCTCTGTACACGAGGTGAAACAGGCCTTACAGACGAGCCATAAGCTAACAGAACAGCACTGGACTATCTGGATTCAACAATAGTTGATGAGAGACTTCGTGAATCACATAAGCTCCATGTCAATACCAAAAGAGGCACATCGCGCAATCTGATCATGGGCACAGCGCTCTTAATTTATGTACCAATTCAACGTCGGAATACATGGGAAATGGCCCGCATGATCAAAATGCAACAATCAGAAACGCACAGATCAGACTATGAAACAAACGAATTACCAGAAGAACTGTGAAGTTATTAATTCCACTAGAGCTAGGGGAAACAGAAGAGCGACAAATACCGGATACAAGAGGAAATATAAAGGATCTTCCAAATCAAACCCAAATGAGCGCTATAACCCCTCGAACACGCGGTTTATCCTATTCCTAAACAATTCATACTATAACTCGTATGAAATGCTGAGATATTTGCAAAACTCCGGACCACAGGTGTATGCAGTGGGGAACGAACACGCGCTGAGTTATAATTCGAAACATAACCTGCCATTAAGAAGAAAAAGGCAGTAAATAAAAGAGTTAAAATTCATACTATTTCCATGTACTCTATTCTACTGCAACTAATCACTTCTACCAAATTCAACCCATGCGCGCTATATTCTCTTCCTAGTGTTTGTACAACTACGATAATGACAAGGAAATAGTCCAAAGAGGGCCTCCAACGTTGCAGCAGACTCACGCTTTCGCGTAGGTGACAGCAAAAGACACAATCTAGCGGTCTTGGCAGAGGTAGGAGGAAAGGAGCTCCTCCAAACTACTGTGCATTCCCACTTCTCGTCCTCTTTCTGTCCACACTTTGTACATGTAGATCATCACAAGAATTTTTGATCTTTGTCGTAAAACCATCTATATTCTCCTCTCCCTCAATTGATCTCTCGCATGCAAGCACCGGTCCTATCCCTTAGCATGTACCATGTATTGCTTTGAAGTAGCTATATCCGATTGTAGTAAGTGAGCGTTTTAGAATCCTCCTACGAGCGCTATCTCTACTGGCTTCTTTGAAAACCCCGCCCATCAGACAAGGAATATGAGCGTCATGAGTTATCCCAGATCGCTCAAATTCGCTTGGCTCGCTCGCTCGGTTAGTTCGCTCAACCAGTACTCATTATCCTTCTGAATATCGTCTGACTTTCAATATTACATTACTATTATTCCTAAAAACGAAATCCCCTGTGGGAAATTCGCATTAAGTCGAACATTCCACTTTGATCTAGTAATCACTCGGTACCGAAGACTAACTCAAAGACGTACATTCCACTGACCAACGAATACACAGCTATGAATAATTGTTTATCCGCCTTTACTTTGGCGAAATTGTGGTTCGTGAAAAGCCATCATATCTCTCTCTAATACACCGATCCATAGAAGGATAAAACGGATACAGCTCGCGGGTCTGATCAATCCCTGAGGGATGCGCCATGCATTCGACTTCATTAAGTTTCGTTGGAGGTGATTGAATTCGTATCTGGCCTTTATTACAATGACTAGCGGTGGCCTACCGATGTATCGAGCCAGTGCTGTTATCCTCCCAGACAAGTCTGGTACCGATTCATATTGAACGACTTAAACTGAAATTGATGAAAACAGATATTACATGGAAACACTTCGAAAAAAGCGAAAGAAAAATTTATTTTCAACAAGAATAACCCGCATACATAGGCACTGGGAAGATGTACAATGAGACTACAATTTGCAAGAAAAAAAAACCATATCTTAACATTCACGATTAAAAGTGCATTGGTGCAGTGTGCACAAGTGTTAACACTTTCACATTCCGTACATAAAAAGGTGTCTATTTCAGTCGATGATGAATTTAGACCAAATTTACGAGGAATATTGCGAACTTCCATATGAAATATCAGGCTGGTCAATCATGATACTAATGCAAGAACATGCCAAGGTTAAGGATTGTCGGGATAGTGGTAGGTCTAAGTGGATTCATGGAGCAGACTTCATCTACGTTGGAGCAGATACACGGCTTCCGTTTGTATGCAACAGTGCCTCAGCGTAAATTCTTCCGCACACATCCTTATGCAAGGATTGTACCATGACATCGATCCTTGTAAAATCCGTAACCAACTGGCTGGACAGCATGTATAAGTAGTTAGGAATCCTTTCCAAAATGTGATCTTCACATCTGCTCTGTGAGATCCCCATGCTCATGGTTAAAATTAATTCCAACGGCATAGCCAGGCGAACCACACATAGGTAGTGTTCCAAAAAAACGAAAGTGGGCCTAATACGAACTCTAATACTCTGGGTACATCGAACCTGAGGAATCCACTAGGTAGCTCTCATCTGCGAAATAACAAATGTAATAGAGACTTTACTAGTCCCAACTTGGTTAAGAGATAACACAGCACAGAAAAGTGAAAAAAAAATTACGATTTAATTTAAAACATTCACAATCTGACCCTTATGTTTGATAAGAACACGAACAAATAGTTGCCTCGTAAAAAGATTGTGCATGTGATCATTAACACGTCTTCCGATCTCCGCAATGCGTTGGCCGCCCTGAAGAGGTGATATAATAGAGGAAAAAAACAATTCACTAGCGACTGGCGTTAGGCCTTTAGTGAAGTCAGAGTGTAGAGTATTTGAAATTTTGGTGAAACCAGACCGCAGTCGATTGGATTTGTTGTGAACAACGGAAATTAAGAAAGCACTAGCACATTCTAGAAAATTTGTTTGAAGACGTTCAGCTATAATGCGAAATTGAAATAAAATTGGCTAGCTCTATTGATACAGAAGGTGAGACGGGGTTCTACAATCGATTAACTACTACTCAGAAATAACCAATACGAGAATGGTACCAAGTTAGATATCTACCGTGTCGGAGAGGAATTATTGCACTATTTTCGCATTCTTGAATACTTCAAGCACATTTTAGCTAGGCTGTTTCAAATGTTTCAACCTGCTGAAATCGCCATGCTGATCGAACAATTGAGCTCAACGTTCAGAAAAACTGGACGGTTTTCCTGCAGAAGCACAGCAGTTATAAAAGAAATTCGAGTTCCTACCTAAAACCTTACTTGAAAACATAGAATGATAAGTCGTTTTCCGTCCGACATTACCACGTGATGATTAAACGACGACTTTGCATGCAGTTGAGTTTTATCGAGGAAAAATGTACAGCTTGTCTCAGCGTCTTCCCGCTCAAACCACTTACAGTAGTTTCTAACACAGTACACATGGTATAGAAAAGAGGCAAAGAAAATCTTTTCGACCGATGATGTTTGATCTCGGTGCAAATGACGTGGTCCCCACAACAACTTTTCCAGTTGGAGAACAAGGTGCTAGAAACGACCAGTGGAATCCCACATTCCCAAGTTTCGCTTTTTGACGTTAACCATTACAGGCTCATGGAACGTGGAATGTTAAATGGTTCGCGCCGTTCAAAATAATAAGAAAGCTTTTTTCTTCGAATTGGTGCAACAATTACCCCTAACTCCACATACGAAAAGTGAAGACAAGAAATGAATCAAATTCAACTAACCTTCCCTAGCACAAGTCGTCCTATACGTTCCTTCTCGCACGGAATCTCCACTACAATTTTCAAGACCTGGAAAGTTTTGCTATTTGAGACGAGTACTCCAATCAAATGAAACTGTCTAAACAGACATCTCCATCTTCAACCCATTCACAGATTTTTGGTCTAAGGCAGTACGCGACATTGGAAGGAACAGTGTCAAGAAGAGCCGCTCGAACCGAATCGAGACAAATTTGTTGTGGGCTCTGAAATGGATTTATTAGAGCTAGTAACAGTACTTATCGTGAAAAAGAAACAAAAGGCGAATAGATGTATTTGTTGAAGGGTTCCGACTAACGGCAAAGCAATACGAGAATTCACATTAGCTAGAAACAACCGTCCTTTACATTACGGCACTGCTCAGTTGGGCATAACTGTGTATAAAAGTGCAAAAAAATCGTAAACGTTATTATGCTATTGCCCTGATTCACAGATAATGAAACCATAAAAATAATGGGTCAACAAGATGTGTCTAAACGATGAAGACGTAAAAGAGTTCGACCTTTGTAGTTATGGCCATTTCGTCCTGCTGCCATACTTTTCCCATGGAGAGGTCTTTCAGATGTTGTCGCAATACTTCTACTCCTTCGCCAGTTAGGGCGGAAGCTGAAAGAGAAAAAAACTAAGTTGAATTCATCGAAAACCTCTGCGTGCAGATAGTTAAGCGTATATATATGTATGTATATATGTATATGTATATATATATGTATATATGTACACGTATATACATACATCTACATATGCATGTGCATGCATATACATATCCATTCGTATATATGTATATACATACATATGTATAATATATATACATATATACATATACAGCATTCCTTGCATATAAGCATTTCTAATTGCTCGTTTTTATCTCTTACTTTTAACTCTTTTTGTCTGCATATATTGTACACATACACACCGAAGAAAACAGCACTAAAATTGCTCCATCCGCGAATATTCGAAAACAGCTGCTTAGTTTCTCCATAGCCAATTTGATACGAAGGTTTAGCTATTGCACATCTGAAAACTATTGAAATCACAATTGCCTTCGAATAATCGTAGGGCTAAATCATAAGTGATAACTCATACCGAAACCGCTGCTGCCAATTATGATCTTGCAGTTTGATGGAATCATCATGCAATGTTAACATTTTGGATGGTATTCCGAGTCGCCCAATCTAATCAATTGGCAGGAAATTGTTAGGTAGTAAGGAAGATAAAATTTCTCTTACAGCCCATTGGAAAAGTTACCGCTTTCTCGACGACTGTGATGGGAGCTCCAGCGACATGGCCATTGGTTAGAATACGAGTAAGTTCGAGCAAATCGCTGCGTCTAGGTATCATGTCCACCTTATTTATTATAAGGGATGATGGTATGTGAGAGTAACGATGAAGAAGGTGCAAAACACGATGATGTATGTAATCACCAGTAGCAGTTGCATCCTGAAGAAAAAGGGCACGGCATTTCGTTGGCAACAACTTCAAAGTTTGTCTAGTCAGTGTGATATTTCAAGATAAACATGGAAATGATACGCGAAGAACCTGTCAACATCATGATCACAACCTACATTACATTAATCATTCCCTTGAAAACGAAGGATTCCAAAGAAAAACATTGAAATAGCCAAATAACCTAGCCAGTGCAACTTCAAAAGAAACATTTTTCAGGGAAACATAGCTTAAGAACGACGTTTACTTACACTAATAAGGCAACTATAATGCAACGAACTAATTATGAGGTGAAATAAGCAACATACTTGCACTACAAGGATGTGCTCCGCTCTCTGAAGAGCTCTCTCTGGTTCTGTCAAAACTTTATTGTGATTCAGGGCCATGGTTTCTCTTGCGTGGCGTTGACCAACCGTTCCAGGACTATCAACCAGAATTAGCTGCACGTTGTCTTCTGTCAGGATGGCATTCACATTCTAAAATGCTTGTAATAGAAAAAAATGTCCATGAACACCAAAGAAGAAAAACAAGTGAGAAATGTGAAATGAACAATGCATTGCAATAATCGTATTCCATCTTAATCACTAATGTAATAGAGAACCCTCAAAAATTCTATGATACACAAGGATGTCCTCTGCAAACGCTGTCGCTCCAACGTTTTTCAGAGAGTAAACAATCGGTTTTACTTTGCAATACAGCTGCTTCTATATGGCTCTTCAAGGAGATGATAGCGTCGGCAGGAAGCGATAATCACACTAGAGCAAAAAGTTGCTTCATCAGCATGAAATAAAAGACTGTAGCGAAAGGGTAATATAAAGAGGTTACAAGAACCTGTCAAGATGGGTTGCATTCGCCAATACTATCTGCTTTGGATGCAATAACACACTGTTTCACATCAATTAAATAACGACATTACTAGCAAAATTGGTAGTCCACAAATGTGATTTTGCCTTTTGGAGTCTTAATTACAAAAAGATGCTAGTTCAAGAGACAGAACAACAATTTTGCATTGTGGTATACAACGTAGTCACAGACAGTGATATGCTACACAGATACAAAAGTATTACGATGTCATGAAGTCATTAATGTACATGGACAGAAGAAGTAAGGCGTTCGACTAGAAACTAACATTTGGTGCGACCATAAAAAGAGCACTGAACTAATATTTACTAGACAAAGAGCTTACAATTTGTACAAATGCAAATCGGCACGCCGAATAAACGGATATAAATAGAGTTCATGTTCCTTGGACCCAAATCAGTTGTCTCGCGACGGGTGATGAAATCCAGACAAGAAAATTTTAGCCCGACTGATGATGGGAAACTTGCAATAATCCACAATGCCCGGCATGGACGCTGTAGTGTGTGAACTTTTTCGGCCCGGTAAACGATATGAACACTAGGGTGACCATTTTCAGCTCATTTCGTTCCAGAACCTTTTCTTTATAATGCTGAATATACGAGATAGTTAACTGGAAGAGCATTGAAGTAGGAGAGGTGAAACCAGAAAAGCCATTTTCTACACCCAATGATTTACAAAAACTTCTTCGAAGATGGTGACTGACCGGTAATTGGTTAACATTTAACTGTTATATCATTTTAACCACTACAGTTATAGCATGGAAATGCGGACACAAAAACACGGGAACAAACTTAGTAGAGGATAAAAACACTTCCGAATACTTACAGCAATCTATTTACGTAATGGATCATAGTAACACATAGTAAATAGTATAGCATATATGATTTATAACCATAAAAAAAGATAAAAAGCAGAAAAAGAAGAAAAGAAAAATATGATAAAGCAAAGCCTCTTTTATACACCTCTGTGATGTCCACAACCTCTAAAGACTTTTAGTTATTGCAAAATAGCGCGTCCGTCATAAGTTAAGCAGGATTGGGAACACACGAACCCCTTAGTTATTTTCAAATTCTCCGGTGCCAATTATGACACCTGAAATAAAAACTTCGCTATCGAAAACGAGAAATTATTACTGGTACTCACTGCGATAGAGGCACCTGTGGCGCAGTGGTCGGAGTCGCCGTACAACACACATGCAATCGATCCCCGTCCCCATGGTCCCACCAAACCTTCCAGCCTTCCGGCGTCGGCAAATTGATACCAGACTTATCTGGGAGGATAGCGAACTGGCTGGATATATCGGTAGGCTATCGCGAGTCATTGTAAAAGCCAGATATGCATTTAATCACCTCCAAACGATGCTTAATGAAGGCGAATGCATGGCGCATCCCTCAGCGATTGATCAACGCCGAGTGCTTCATCCTTTTTTTTGGTTACTGCCACATCACATCAGAATATATTAAAAGAAAAATAAAGCATTTTCATCATTTGGAAAGTGTTTCGACGTCATAAACAGTACAGCTGCAGTTAAAGACCTAATGTTAGGTTCAGCTGAATCAGTGGAAACTCCATAATGCGAGAAAGCTGGCAATTTCACAAACAATGATTTAAATAGTTGCCCCAGATTGACAAATTTTATTGGAAAACCCAGTAAAAAATGTAAACTTTCTCAGCATAGCACTACAAAAATATTGTACCTGAATTGTAGTGTCCATCTTGCTACTCACGGAAGAAACGGCGGCTCGAACTAGCTGGTTTGTAAGTAGCGATTTCCCGACATTGGGAGCGCCGATTACTGCAACATCAAGACCGCGCTAAACAGGAAACGCGAAACATCGGAAAACACAACTATCCATAAAGACAACCGATCTGAGGGAAATTCAACATAATGCTTAGAGCTTTAAATCTACTTACAGTAGCAGTAGAGCATAATCGCTCTGCACATGCAAACAGGACAACATTATTGCTGCTGAATGACTTAACGAAGCACCTCAGAGCGTTCAAATACATTTGTAGCGAGGAATAATGTATAGAGAATGGAACTCAATGTGTCTCTACCTAAAATTTATCTCTGACTAAAATTCAGCAGCATATATATATGATATTCCTTTATATACACATATACACATGTGTATGTGTATGCACATATATATGTGTATATATACGCATATATATACACACATGTGTGTATACTACACAATGTGTATATACATTGTACATGTATGTACATACAATATGAGAAAACGTGACTAATGCGTAGAACAAGCAAGCTCATAATGGAAAAAAATTCTGCAAATTATAACTTACACCGCTCTTGTGACGCTAGGCGAAGCAATTATTGCACTTTGTAGTCGTTCAGTACCAAGCAGCAGTCCATGGGAACGGGCCGTTGGCGCGTCGACACGCGCGATGCATTCGGTTCTGATTCGGCCACACTATCCATTTCGCTGCTAAGGAACATTTCTAAACCTATAACAAGCTGCATAGATGAACACTATAGTGTCCATAGAAACAGCTTTTACTAAACAGTTACAGCTCTTTTTTTATGAATCTTTCAGTTATTGTTAGAGACCAGCCGCGTAGAGGCTTACATAGATGAGAAATGTGCCTAGCTCATGTCAAAAACCAACCTGGAATGTGGCACAAGGTCACGTGCGATCACAAGCACGGATCCCTGCCGTTCATTTTTGGATTTTCGAAAATTTGTCAAAGCACTCCGCTAGTTGCACATAGGGCATAAAAGCACAATGGTGACGACTCTAAAGTGAATGTCCGGATCCTCGGGCAGGAATCAAAGACGTCAACGCGCAAAACTCTTGACGCGTGTGGGATAAATTTTAAAAATCCAAAGATGAACCGGAAAGATGAATGCCTAACTATCACCAATGACCTTGTGCCTTCGTTCAAATTATTTTTTTTTGACCCGACTGTGTCCTGCTCGTCATCCCACGTGAGCAACACACGGGTGGTCCCACACGCAACGGCACACTGAGTAGGTTTTCAACAAAATCGCAATTCATTTATACGGCATATCTTGATTGAACAAATATATTTAAATTTTTCACCGGATTATAGGACTATTGTTGCATAAAGTACACCCAGGCTCAGAGGAAGGCGAAGTCGCCGAAACGTCAGCCATCGAAGAACAGGAGCAGTTACAACAATGACAGCTTTACCGACCCCGCATTAGCTCAACAAGGACATTTTGTAACAACGCATGTATAGATATTTTCTGCCTAGGTTTATGAAAAGCGGGACTTTAGAGTTATAGAGAGAATTAGTTCGTAATTGGAATAAAACCGTTAATCAAGGAGCTGGGTAGAAAATGGACCGATGTATTACTCTGAACTTCTAATTCCTCCATTCAGTGGTCTCTCAATCTGGTAGTAACACAGCAGCTCTCAGTCCAGCAGCGACTGTGCTGTTCCCATAACACGAAGCTCGCTATACAGCAACCAATGTGCCGTGTTCACAACACAGAGGATCGCAGTGCAGCAACCATCGTGCCCTGTTCACAACACAGTGGCTGACAGTACAGCAACCAATGTTCTGTATTCACAACACAGAATCTCACAGTTCGGCAGCCATTGTGTCCTGTTCACAACACTGTGCCACACAATGCAATGTACCTTGCACAACATAGTGGTTCACAGTTCAATATCCAATGTGCTGTGTTTACAACACGGTTTAAAACAACACAACAAATTTCATGCTGAATTTTATTCATTTAATTTTATAGGAACCATTTTTACACCTACTGTGAAGATTCCAGCATTCCTCTCATTCGATTCATTTCCTCGCATCCATCATTTACCAAGCTCTTCCAATTCTGGCGTGTGCCTTCGGTTGCTTCTTGAGGAATCTTATTTTATCTTGAATGTCATGGAATACTAGTCCAGTCGATTCTCCCAGGGGTCCTGAGGTGACCAGGCTGAAGAGTTCCCAATTGAATTGCAGAGAGTGATTTTCTCCCGCACAAGTCCGGTACCAATTTCCAGCACCGTGGTGATGAGAGGCCTGATGATCCTGGAGCGTGATCGAATCAGCAGCGTACTCGTTATGGTCGGCATCACTACCACTGTGCTGTCTGCACCCTATATTTTGAAGTAGAAATTACTGCGTCGTTTTCTTTTCAAGCAATCTCGAGGTTGTTATACAGCATACGTTTACTTCCGTGCGCAAAAAATACAACACAACAGAAGCTGACGTTTCGGTAGTACCGCCGTGTTCAGGGCCTGGAAGGGTATACTGATATGCAATTTACTACGCCAAACGCTTCAATAACAAATAGGGAAAGTTGAAAATCTATGGTAATCACATGATCAACGGCTTCTCGAAAACCGATCCTTTTTACGTGCCTTTCAGTGAGGAAGAATGGCTGATTAGAGTCGCATACAGTCGATGACTGCACCACCCCTCATCAAAAATTGATACGAAGGTACGGGGATAAATCACGTGTGGTCCTTGAGCATTCCTCTTTGCTATTCATTGTACGATTTTGGCATTTATCCAGAAAGCCTCAAGAAGCTTGCGCGCTGGAGTTTGAGCAAACTGGGCGATAATAGTAACTTCTATATTAAAATCGTCTCTGCTATGCTTTTGTGTCCTGCAGGTCTCTAGTGGGGTACTTTTCCTTGCTTTTTTTTGCTATCTAGGCGGAATCGCTAAAAAGTCGGCTATTGTAAATGAATAAGTGCTGTAGTTACATCCTCATGCTTCCTCATTAATAAAAACAATGAGTTATTGATCAGTGCCGAGGTCAAAAGAGGGTCGGCCTTGGGATTTAGAATCTGAACGATGGTAGGCACAGGAAATAAACTCGCCTAATTTACACTTAGTAAGGAAAAGCGAGGTTTTAAAGAGGAACCATCTTACATGACCCGTTTTTGCTTCTATTATGCGGATCGCAGCATTTCTTGCGTTCCATTTGTTTTCTGATATCCTTTATCCACGAAGGTCTTCGAACTTCCGCGTTTGGGTTCCGCTCCTGCTTGGGGATCTTTGCCATCGTTATGAATTCCCTAGAATGCTGGTCGTGCCGATTCTCACTGGAACACTAAGATAGCCGTGCTAGGGTATTCCCATGTAGACAGCCGTGCTATGCTAATCCCATGTAGACCTTTACACCTTATTTTACCAATATTTAGATTAACACCTGCTGTTTTTCATCTTATTTGAAGTCCGTACTTGTGATTTTACTTCGCATACACTAGTAAGCCGTTTTCGTCAGTTAATTTATACACGCATCGTTTGTTTTCACGACTCATGAGAACCAATACACGATTTACACTTGGAAGTGCTGGGGTTCGCACAATGTATGATGTCGGGCTATGTTAAAAAATGCTGTTTGAAATGCTCTGCGAAAAATTTTGTGTACCTACATATCATTCAGTTTAATTAGGTTTCCCCGAAAAAAGAAATGCGGTCGGTAACGGCCGATAATTCTGTAATGTTAACGTGTAGGACAAAACAGTTGGGTTTGAATCCCATCTGAACTGGGCGATTCGACGGCATTTTGTCTATACGAATCTTGAAATTCTTGAAAGCTTCACCATCATGAACAGCGCGATTAGCAACTCGATCCCAGCATCGGTCTGTTTAGATGGTAATTTATCTTCCGTTGAAATACGAGAACGTGATAGCAAGTGATCACCAACTTTTCATCATATGAAGACGCTTTTCACTCTTGGTGAATTAAGTTCTCTTGGAGCTTTGCTACCTCAAGGTCATGTGCATTCCAGAATAGCAGCTGTTTCTGAACCGCTCTACCTTAAGCTGAATTCGCAGATGACCAGCTATAGCTCGGCAAAAATTTGAAGCATCGATTTTGTTTTAATGTCTGCTCCTTCCGCATATGAATTACGATATTGTCATCATTTAGACATAAAGCGACTTGTTTATACGCCACAAACTAACTATTTTTGCGTGAATTTTAAAGTACCTTTTATAACCCGAAGAAAGCGCAAGCGCCGAAACGTTAGTCGAGTAAAGTTTTTTATCAAACACCTGTGAGCTTCACCTGTATCCCATGTAGCCCCATTGATCGCCGAGTGACACGAGCCGGCGCCAATAAATCTTCCATTTTTCCCTGTTGGGTATAAAAGCAACCTAGGGCGTTCTGTTAGCACTGGAGACTAGTTGAGCATCATATCTTATTTCTAGGCTTTTCGTGAGGAACTCTGACAATCGAGTCAGTGGTCTTCCTGCAGTGCATTTAACATCCCGAGGAATCCAGTCACTAACGGCTCCTTTCCATCGGTAGTCATTCATACACATTACCTGTCCGGCCCACCTTACCTTCGACTGCTTGGCGTACAGAACGGCATCTTTGATTTCTGATCGTTGACGCAGATCGGACCTTCGGATCCAATACCTTACTTGTGTGGAACTGGTTACTCCTAGCATCTTCTTTTCGATTGTGCGTTCGATAACGCTGAGTGGTCTTTCATTCTACTTACTCAGCGACCAGGTTTCTGACGCATACGTTAGGGTGGGAAGTACCACCGCGTCGAAAAGGTGGGCGCGGAGCCGGGTGTTCTTTGTCTTCTTCACTACATCCTCGATGCTTTTGAAAGCTCCCTAAGCCGCCCGTTTCCTTCTACTCAGCTCTGGAGCTAGGTCGTTCATTATATTGATTTCCCGACCTAAATAGATATAGCTGAAGTATTCGGAGATGTTCGTTCCGTTGAGCGTGAATGGGGCATACAAAACCAATCCGCTCCTCATGAACATCGCTTTTGTGAGAATTAGTCGAAGACCAACCTTTCCACAGGCTTTAGCTAAGTCGACAAACATACGTTCTACTTGGCTAATGTTTGGTGTTATAAGGACGATATCATTAGCAAAGCGAAGATGATGTAACTGCGATTTTCGCTCCCATATTATCCCATTCCAATCTTCGCATGGCGTTTTGGAGGGTGGCGGCAAATAATTTTGGCGAGATGGTATCGCCTTGCCTAACTTCTCTTTTGACGTCAATGTTAATATCGTTGTAGAATGGTGATATCTTGGTTGTGAAATTTTTGTACAGCTCACGAAGAATCTTTATGTACTGAGTAGGAACTCCTTCACTATCAAAGGCTCCCAAGGCTGTTTCCATCTCAACTGAATCAAAGGCTTTCTGTGGATCGATGAAAGTGAGAGAGAGCGGTCTTCTGTACTCTCTCGACAGTTCATTGAGTCTTGCTATCGTGTGGATGTGGTCCATCGTACTAAATCCTTTTCGAAACGCTGCTTGTTTACATGGCTGTCCTTCGTCTAGTGTTCTGTCAATCCTGTTTAGGATGACTCGAGTGAAAAGTTTACAGACGACAGACAGTAAGCAGATTGGGCGATAGTTGCCGATATCGTGCAGGTCACCCTTCTTGAACAATAACACGGTCTTGCTGGTCTTCCACTGAGTAGGGACCTTGCATTCAGACATCTAACGTGTGAAGAACCGAGCCAGTGTATTTACGAGGA